TGAGGCATTCTGTTCCCACAAGGATTTGAAGCCTAAGAAACCCTATACAGTCCTGATGTGGCTCTGAGGGTTAATGCACCAGACTGCAAAGCCGTTTGAACTTTAAGGTCGGCAGTTCAAGCTCACCAGCTGCTCCTCGGAAACCCTATACAGGGTCACTATGGGTTGGAACTGACTCAACGGCACTTCATAACAACAACAACATGAATCTAAATCAACTCAGCAGGATGTAACAACAATTTCTAACTTACTCTTAACGTGTAATCATTCCACACTTAAAATAACATTGATCACTTTCTTGAGTTTTAGTTTTTCATATAAATGCTTTACTGTCACTGTCAGAGCTTAGTTATGCAATGTAACCCATAGAAATATATATTTTACATTTTTAGACAACTGTTATTGATTGGTAGCTTGACTGATAATAATTCCAGAACACTCTTTCCATTTTATCAATTTCAGGAGTTTCATTGGTTTATGAAAACTGGTTCAATTTGAATGTATAATCAAATTGTCTTGCCTACAGGAGCTAATATTTTTTCAAAAGACAAAAAAGTGTAGGTCAAAATACAGATTCTATGGAAGTCAGATAATAAGATAATAGTACTGATTTAAGAGCAGGCTTATTTGTTTTTAAACTTTAATATCCAATTTATTGTTGTTGCTATTAAGTGCCATTAAGTCATTTCTGAAGCATTCTGTACTCAATTTATACCACATCAAAACAGCAGTGCTGGCATCCTTGAGGAACTTAAATTGTGTTCCTTGTTAATATTCTTTGAGAACTGGGGACAAAAAGAAGTCTAAAGGGGCAAGAACAGGGCTGTAGAGTTGATAAGAGTATGATTTCACAACAAACTTCTCATCGAGCAACCCTTGCTACCCTTGAGTAATGAGTAAGAACATTGCTGTGATGGAAAAAAAATTTCTTGGCACAACTTTTTTGCCTTTTTCCTCACTATTGCACTTTTCAATTTTCTTAAAACTTCATAATAAGCCTTTGTGATTATCCTGTGTCCCTCAAGAAAATCTATCAAGATTGTCCCTTTGAGATCCCAAAAAACAGTCCACATAACCTTCTAAGCTGACCTCTCTGCTTTGACTTTAAAGGAGATCCCCCATGGAAGCTACTGTTTTGATTAGCCCTTGCTCTCTAGATACTATTGGTAACTCCAAGACTTATTCCTGGTTATTCATTATGTAAAATCATCTTCATTACCTTCGATCTTGCTTAAGAGACTGATGGGTACATCAGTTCTTTGAGCTAGCTGATCATACAATGCCTCTGGCACCCCACTGAGCTGAAACATGTTCACTCAAATTTGAAAATGCTGAACTATGTGAAATCTCAACTTCAGTAGCTATCACATCAGTGGTATTTCTATAGTCTTTGTCTACCAGCTTCTGGGCTTCAGCTACAGTTTCTTTCATCATCAAGAATGACAGTTTTCCCTGTACTTGAATCACCTTTGAGATCTTCTGAACTTCCTGAAATTTCTTAATCCATCTAAAAGCTGTTGTCCTGTGTGGGATAGCATTACCGTAACCTGTTGGAAAGCTTCAACTATTTTGGAAGATGTCCAGTTGAGTTTTGTTAAAATGTTTATATTACCCCGACCTCAAAAATTATTTTTCCATGGCACAAAAATATCCTGTTTTTTGGAAGACACCCTACCCAGAAAAAGACAAGTGGAGTCCTGGTGTGGCACTGTGGTCTAATGCATCAGACTGCAAAGTCATTTGCAACACAAGGTCAGTGGTTCAAGTTCACCAGCCACTCCTTGGAAACCATATACAGGATTGCTATGGGCCAGAATCAACTCAACGGCACTTACCAACAACAACAACAAATTACTGATAAAAGTTGCCTGCAACCATCCATTGATGACACTGAGACATGTTTAAACACTTTGTGTTTGGAATAAGCCATGTATGTATGAACTAGAACCCTAGTATCACTATTGTAACATGCCATTGTGTCATTTCTAACTCATAGTGACCCCATGCACAACAGAAAGAAATACTACCCAGTCCTGTATAATCCTCACAATTGTTGTTATGTTTGTGCCCATTGCTACTGGCACTGTGTCAATCTATGTCATTGAGGGTCTTCCTCATTTTTGCTGACCCTCCACTTTACCAAGCACTATGGCCATCTCCAGGACTGAGCCCTCCTGACAAGATGTCCAAAGAATGAGAAACAGAGTCTCTCCATAATTCCTTTTAAGAAACATTCTGGCAGTACTTCTTCCAACACAGGTTTGTTTGTTCTTCTGTAATATTCTTTGCCAACACCATAATTCAAATGCATCGATTCTTCTATGGTCTTCTTTATTTATTATCCAATTTCCACATACATGCACACAAGGCAAATGAAAAGAGCATGGCTTGAATCAGGCACACTGAGTCCTCAAAGTAACATCTTGGCTCTTTAACATATTAAAGAGGTCCTTTGCAGCAGATTTGTCTAATACAATACTTTATTTGATCTCTTGACTGTTGCTTCTATGAGTTTTGATAATTGTTGTGAAGATGTTTTTCCTTATAATGAGGTGTTAGTTTTTGATCTTCATCAGTATTTCAAGTCTTCTTTGTTTCTAGCATATTAAGTTATATCATCTGTGTATTACATGTTGTTAATTAGTCTTCCTCTGATCCTGATACCATGTTCTTCTTCATATAATCCAGCTTCTCAGATTATTTGTTCAGCATATATATTGAAGGAGTATGATAAAAGGATACAACCCTGACACACACCTTTTTCTGATTTTAAACCATTCCATATCCCCTGGTTCTGTTCAAACTATTGCCTCTTGGTCTATGTACAGGTTCCTTATGAGCACAATTAAGCTTTATGGAACACCCATTTTTTGAAATGTTATCCATACTTTGTTATGATCTGCAAATTCAAATGCCTTTGCAAAGTCAATAAAACACAAGTAAACATCTTTCTTATATTCTTCACTTTCAGTCAAGATCCCTCTGACAGCAATGATAGCCTTAGTTCCAAGTCCTTTTCTAAATCCAGCTTGAATTTCTGGCCGTCAGGGTACTACTGCAACAGTTTTGAATTATCCTCAGCAAATTTTTACTTGCATGTGGTAGTAATGATAAATGTCCAATAATTTCTGCATTCTGTCAGTTCACATTTCTTTGGAATGGGGACAAATACAGATCTCTTCCAATCCATTGGTCAGGTAGCTGTCCTCCAAATTTCTTGGCATAGATGAATGAGTACCTCCTGTGTTGCATCAGTTTATTGAAACACTTTGATTTGTATTCCATCAATTACTAGAGAATTTGCCTTCATTGAAGTGTTGTTGTTTTTGCCAATGCCTTCAGTACAACTTGGACTTCTTCCTCCAATACCATCAGTTCTTGATCATGTGCTACCTCTTGAAATGGCTGAACATTGGCCAATTCTTTTTGGTACTGTGACTCTGTGTATTCCTTCCATTTCCTTCTGCTGCTTCCTGTGTCATTCAATATTTTAACCATAGAATCCTTTAATATTGTAACTCAAGGAGTGAATTTTTTTCTTCAGTTCTTTCAGGTTGAGAAATGCTAAGTTGCTCTTTTTTGGTTTTCTAACTCCAGATCACTGAACATGTCATTATAATACTTTGTCTTCTCAAGTTCCTTTTTGAAATTTTCTCTTCTTCTCTTTTACCTACTCATTTCTTCCAGTCATTTTAGCTTCTCTATGTCTGTGAACCACAAGGTCAGCAGTTTGAAACTATCAGCTGTTCCGCGGGAGAAAGAGGAGACTTTCTGCTCCCGTAAAGATTTACAGCCTCAGAAACCCTATACAGGGTCGCCATGAGTCGGAACCGACTCTCTCTCTCTCTCTGGCATTTAGGAGTCCGTGAAATGCAGACTGTATGGCAGGGCTATGACAAGGAAGGAGTACAGTGGTTCTGTATGATAAACCACTGGACTGCAAACCATAAGGTCTGCTGTTCGAGTCCGCCAGCCTACCCACGGGAGAAACATGAGGCTTTCTGCTCCCACGAAGATTGGCGGCGCTGTGGAGTAATGCTTCAGACTGCAAAGCTGGTTTGAACTGCAAAGTTTGTGGTTCAAGTTCACCAGCTGCTCCTTGGAAGCCCTATACAGCGTTGCTATGGGTCGGAATCAAATCGACAGCACTTAACAACAACAAACCGTACAAAAAGTCGTTATGAGTAGGAACTGACTCGATGACACTAACAAAAATAACATGATAGGGAAGATCACTGCAAAGGTAATAGCAGAACTCTATTCTGCTTCGAGTGGGTGGGAGGAAGCAAGGAAAGAAAAGATCCACTTCATACAGCTTCTTGAAGAGATGGCATTTAGGGATAAGAAAGATTCACACTCAAAACTCCACCACAGAATTTGATAGTTACACAATAAAGTACCCCCAAAGTAATCATTTTGGAATCCCCAAGGGTGACGTTTGCTTGTATCTGGGGATTTTCCATCTCAATGCCTTTCATCACTTTCAATAGCCCATAAAAAGACCACGTAAAAAATTAGGTAGAACTGAATCCGCCCCTAAAGCAAAATCCAACTCTGGGCTCCACCAACTCTACGCGTCCCTGAGAAGGCTAGAGTTTCCACCCACCTTCTCCTGGGCTACTTCAAAGTTAGGGGCTTGGGACAGCCTCTGGAATCTTCTATTGGCTGCCTCGGACGCCTCGCCCCTCCCCGCCCCCGACTCCCTGGTTTCCGTCGCGAAGGACGCGGCGTCGGTTGGTTGTCAAGATGGCGGCCGCGTCAGCTGGGTCGCTGCCGCAGCTGCTGCCGCTACCGGATAAGATCAACCCCGCCGCAGCTGCATTCGCCGCTACAGTCACCAGTGCCTCTGCGCGGGAGACAGGACTGTCGCGGCCGACCCTTCCGCGCCCGTGACGCGGGGTCTGAGAGACGGCGTGTAGGGAGGAGCCGAGGAGGAGGAAACCAGAGCTGCCATGAGGGAGGCGCTAGGGGCGAGCGGGGAGGCGGCGCGGAGGTGAAGGATGCTGGCCGGGAGGCCTGGGGCCCGGAGCGCGGTGGCAGATCTGGGAGCTGAATCCTCGGACAGCCGCGGTAGAGGCCCCCTTAGCCCTCCGCAGAGAGACTGGCGTCACCGACCTGGCGCTTACCTGTATCCTTCCCAAGCGGGGGCTGCCGGGGTAACGGTGTAGGAAGCAGGACAGATTCTTATTTCCATTAGATAATTGCCACTGATGCAAGGTGATGGAAATTAGCAAGTCATCTTAGGGTTGATACGTACTTTAATACCTAAGATTACAACATTTTATCCATTTCCCCCACCCTGTTACCCTTCCCACTCCCATTTTTTAACTTGGGTATGAAATTTTTGTGAATTTTAAAACACATCAACCATGTATTCCGTAGAGATTGTATTTTGCTTTCTAGACGTCTTATGCCATTATATGCTTTACTTGCATATTATATACCTCTTATGCTACTTAGGGAATTGCACAAGTAAAATATTTTGCTGTCCTACAAGAGCATGTTTTAATCATTAGCCCAGCATGCCCCTAAAGGATAGCACTGGTAATTTGTTTTGTTTCCCTGTCCTCTGCCAAATCTGTTGTCAAGAGAGAAAGCAAAGAGGAAACTAGAAACAAGGAACCTGGGTGCTAAACCAACTGGGTTATCTCTGATTGTCCCTCTCAAAGTTACTCTAGCCCACCTTTGGTGTTTCTGTTGGTTGTATTGTAGAAACCTTTTTTTTTTTTTTAAGTGAGTTTTATTTTTTCCAAAATATGTAAACCATGTTTATTCTTTGAGGGCATGTTATGATCATTAGAATTTAACCTTTGTACTCTCAAAGGAATTAGTTCTCAGTAATGATGCTGTATAATCATTCTCGATAACGAGTGTCTTCTCTTTCCAAATTAACCCTTCTTCCTAAACCTGTTGTTTCCCATTTCTTCTGGAAAGTTACAACTTGAGTAACAGTTCGTTTTTATTGAGCGCCTGTTTCGTGGCCCATTCTGTGCTAGATGCTAGAAATCCAAGAGTAGCGAGGAAGACACGTATGTAGAGAGCTTCCCAAAATGTATAAATGACCATTCTCTGATTATGCTGTCCTTAAGCTTCCATTCATTCTGTCGTTTTTCTCTTTGTCAAGCTGCTCGAAATGGTAGTTTGCTCTAGCAGCCTGTAGTTCTTTTCTTCTGTTGATTGTTAATCCTATTCATTTTGGCATTTTCCTTGTTATACTCCAAACTATAGTATTCAGTCACTGATGTAGTCTGAAATAAACAGGATCATTTCTGTATAGATTTCGCCCTGTCCCTTGCCATTATATTTTCTTGGATACTGAATTCCTATTGCACTTACCCTGATTTGTTTCTAAATTGGAAATACAAAAGTATTGTAAATGGCTCATTGGCAAAGCATATTTGCCATATTTCTATTTCCACTAATCAAACAATTATAGACTTAATTTTTTTAGACTTTATGCATATGAACACTAATGCAAACATCAAAGGAAATATTTGTAAGTAGAATTCAACAATACACTGAATGGACACAACCAAACTGACTTTATGCAACACTGTAATGATGGTTTTCTGTTAAAAAAAATATATTATTACTAAAAATATACTTAAATATTAGTCCTGGTGTGGCACTGCTAGTTACTATGCTGGACTGCAATGTCAGTTTTGAATGCAAAGTCAGCAGTTCAAGCTCACAAGTGGCTTTTTGGAAACCTTATATAGGGTCGCTGTAAGTCAAAACAAACTCAACAGCACTTAACACCTCCTAGAAATACCAGGAGGTTTCCGAATTCTGTGAAAAGTGGAATTAAAAGGTAATGGAATTTTTCCAAACTTTTGGGAGCTCCCTAATATAGTTAAAATTAAGGAAGTTATAGAGGGTCATTTCAATAGATGCCCAACTTTGATAAAATTCAAAGTTATAAAGATTTTAAATTTGAATAGAATTCTTTTTGAATAAAGACTATGAATACTAAATCAAGAACTATCATTATGGCTAGTTGGAGAACCACTAAAGCAACTTTGTAAGTATTATTTGGAGATTCTTAGTGGTGCTGTGGGTTAATACGCTCACCAGCCGCTCCTTGGAAACCATATACAAGGGCACTGTAAGTAGGTACTGGCTTGATGGCACTTCACAAATGGCTATGTGGACTCCTGGTGTGGCACTGTAGGATCAGCACTATAAGTCGTGTAGACTCTACAGCACTTAACAACAACAACAATAGCTTTGTATCCCATTGAATACCTGATGCAGAGTGTGTACTCAAATTTGTTAAATGAATGACTAAATTAAAAAGTAAAACAGGAAATAACCATGAGCCATGGGACAAACACCAATGGGACAAAAAAATCATAGTCTTAAAACTTCACCACATGAGTTTTGAGTATAAATTCCATACAGCCCATCCAGGTTTCTGTTAAAGATGTTTTCTCATTGAGTCACAAGTTTAATGCTATTAAAGAACCAAACCTATGAAGCTCATCTGATTAATATTTGCTGGTATGGTGCTGTGGGTTAATGTGCTGGACTGCAGAGTTAGTTTGAACCAAGATCCGCGGTTCAAGCTCACCAGCTGCTCCTTGAACACCCTATACAGGGTCGCTATGGGTTAGAATCGACTCAACAGCACTTAACAACAACAACAATAAAAATTGTTCAAAAAGTTAATGTAAAGAAAGTTCTTTCATATCGCCCTCATAGTGGGCCCTTTTTTCTCATAAATAATTCCATTTTATCCTAGCACTACCTTGATACTCTTTCTCCCTACTTAGTTTATATCCTATTCCTGACTATCTAAACTATTGTCCCACATCCTTGATTCTCTGCACTACTCCTACCTCAACCACCCAGTTGCTACTAAAATACTACTTCTCTATTCCTTCACTTAAAATGCTGTCTGAGAAGATTTATAACTAAGTATAGGGTGACACAACTACACCTTCATGTTTTCCAGCTTTACCTGAGCAGGATTTTCTAATTGATCCTTTCATTGCCTAATTCTTTTTTTTGGTAAGATTTTGTAGATAATATAATATTTTTCACTAATTGAATGAATGCTAACTTCATTGTTTTTAAATTTTTGTTAGGTATGATGGTGGTGGTGGTTCTGACTCAGAAACCCTATATGGAGTTTCCTAAGCTATAAATCTTTATGGGAGCAGAAACTCCCAGCTTTCTCCCAAGGAGCAACTGGCAAATTCGAACTACTGACCTGTAGTTAGCAGCCCAGTTCATAATCCACTGTGCTACAGGGCTTCTTGTGTTAGGTATGATGGATTTTAATTAAATATTATATGGGACACATGTCCAAGAGGACTCTGTTCATAGAGTATGTAGGATATGGCATGGATAAAAAATACTCACTTGAATATTGCCTAATCCCAAATACCACATCTTCCCAATAACACATGGGAAATAGTAAATATATCTATATAAGCCTTATTTCACTATATAAAGCACCACGTTATCATGCACAGCAATATATTGCCAACAAACTGCCTTCTGTTTAATAGTTACTCTAGGCTGCACCTCAATGCCGGTGCTTACTATAAATGAGAAAACTCTCCCACAAACCCCATAGACAGAAAACCGAAGTGGTGTTTTTACACAATACAAGTTAACACCTGTGCTGTTAACACCTGGATCTTTATCACCTTCCACTTCCTTTATAAGATAATTGATGCCATGAACCTCCTCAGGTCCCTCCCAGCAGACAGCACTACAAACCCACACCCTCCCTCCATCCTACCACATCTTTTATTTTTTTGCCCACCTTCTCTTCTACTCACTGATGGGCTATCATTTTTACTGTAAAATGTGAATCCATTCAATTGTGCCCTTATTTCCAGCCCTTTTTTCCTTATTTCCTCAGTAACAATGCATCATAAATCATTCCCACCTAAACCTCTCATAATTTATTTTACATTTCTTTTAATGATCTTTTTTCCCCCTACAGTGGTAAACATGCTTAGATTTGTCTATACTTGTAATTACTAGTCTCTTTGATCCCAAGAATGCTGCTAGCTCTTCTTTAATAATCTATCTCATTCAGACCTCTAAAAACAGTCATTTATATTCTGACTCTACCTTTGAGTCAAACCTCTTACTCCATTTCAAAATAAACTTGCAATGAATAAAGAATATGGACATAAATGTAAAGTTACAAAGGAAAACTAACAGAATTTCAACATTTTTCATGTGTTTGACGGTAACTCTAAAAATTAATTTAAAACATCAATGTAAGGAGAAAGTGCATAATTAAAGAAAACTGGGACTGTCTGGGGAAAAAATACCTGCACTGATAATAGAGGATTAACATCCTAGTCTATCTGTATTGAAATTGATTTTCAAAATTCAAATTATATATAGATAAATGGCCAATTGCTGTGAACTGACTACCAATAAAGAAACTTAAAATAAGTAATCAAACATGGGAAGTACTCTGTTTTGCTAATGTGTAAATGTAAGACATAATTTTCTACCTAGTCATTCTAAAAAAAAAAATTAATACTACCCTATTCTTCTGTATTCTCTGGTATGGATTGCATCTCAATGTAAAGAAAACAAAAATCCTCACCACTGGACCAATAAACAACATCCTTATCAACAGAGAAAAGATTGAAGTTGTCAAGGACTTCATTTTTCTTGGATCAACTATCAACACTGAAAGAAGCAGCAGTCAAGAAATCAAACGATGTATTGCATTAGGCAAATCTGCTGCGCAAGACCTTTTTAAAGTGTTGAAGAACAAAGATGTCAGCTTGAGGACTAAGGTGCACCTGACCCAAGCCATGGTATTTTCAGGGACCTCATATGCATGCGAAAGCTGGACAGTGAATAAGGATGATCGTAGAACTGATGCTTTTGAGTTACGGTGTTGGAGGAGAATATTGAGAGTGCCATGGGCTGCCAAAAGAATCAATAGGTGCGTTTTGGAAGAAGTGCAGCCAGAGTGCTCCTTGGAGGCCAAGGTGGCCAAACTTCGTCTCTAATACTTCAAACATTTTGTCAGTAGGGACCAGTCACTGGAGAAGGATATCATGTTTGGTAAGGTAGAGGGTCAGAGGAAAAGAGGAAGACCCCAGCAGGATGGATTGGCAAAATGTCAGCATCAGTGGGCTCAAGTGTGGCAACAGTAGTGAGGTTGGCCCAGGATTTGGCAGTGTTTCGTTCTGCTGTGCATAGGGTCACTATGAGTCAGTACTGACTCAATGCACCTAACAACAACAACAATATTCTTCTGAGGTTTTGAAATTGATACACATACTTCTGAAACATCTTGTGTTTTCGTTTAAAGGTTACACAGCAAATTAGGTTCACATCAAACAACTCTACATAATTTGGTTGTATTTTACACACTGTCAACTTTTATATTATTTCCATTTTGGTTGCTTTGTTCACAGAAACCTTGCTTCCCTGCCCCTGTGTCTTCTCATTTCTGTTTTAGAGTAAGAGTTGACCATTTGGTCTCCCATAGATGGTTGTTTAAATGAGGACAGTACTCATGAGTGATACTGTTTATTTTATTAACAGTCTGATACTAAAAGAAGACTTCATGAAATCATTTTGGCTCAAGGTTTAAAGAGTATCTCAGGGCTATACTCTCAGGGTTTCCTCCTGTCTCAACTGGTCCAGTAAGTCTGAACTCTAAGAATTTGACTTTGTTCCACATATTTCTCCCACTCTATCTGGCTCTCTCTATTGTGTTCCAGATCAGAACAGTGGATAGTGGTACCCAGATATCACATCTGGTCTCAGAATAGAAGAGGTCATGATTCATGCAAACTTTTAGTCTTGTGGAGTTCTCTGGGTCTTTGGGTTTATTCATTCTCTTACTCTGGACCCGTAGAGACCAATAGTTATTTCTTAGTTAGCTACTCTCAGGCTCTTAGGGCCTCAGATGCTATTCCTCAAACTAGGATGTAAAGAATAAACTTTACGTACTACATTATACTACTTGATCGAGTTGTCACACAAGACTGTTGTCCTCTACCTTGTGGTAAACCAACCCCACAACGTGTTTAATAAGCATCCGTTTGCACCCCTTATGTGTTTTGTTATGAATATGAATATGAGAATGTAAAAAATTTTTGCTATTGGGTTTTCAGTCTATATATGCACTGGTTTATTCCAAACAAAATGTTTTTAAACATGCCTCTATGATTAGTAGATGGCTAGAGACAAGTTTTCTCAGTAATACGCTTGTCTTAGTGTCATTACACTACCTTGTAAAAAAAAAAAAAAACAATTCTTTTTGTGACTTGGGAAAAAAATGATTTTGAGATCAAGGCTAAGAGCAAATTTTTAACAAAACTCAAGTAGACATCTTCCCAAATCATTCAAAGTTTTGCACAAGTTTACAGGAATGCTACCCAACATACAACGTTTAGATGGACCTTGTTTTAAGGAAGGCCCACAAGACCTAAAAGATGAGCCAAGAGAGGGAAGACCATCAACCTTGAAAATGAAGAAACTTGACTAAAGTCCAGTAGAACTGCTCCATAGGATTTCTGAGACTGTAAATCATTACGAAAGCAGATAGATTTACCTGTCTTATATGGACATAGATTTGAATTACCAAGCTTGCAGTTAGCAGACCAATGCTTAATCCACGGCACCACCAGCTAAATAGCAACATAACGGAAAAAGAATGAGCTCCCATTAGGAAAGGTTCAAACAACCATAAAACTCAAGTAAATTGATTGTATTAAAACATATAATAAGATTTTTAAATAATATTTACACTGAACCACTTTGGTGGTATTATATGCCACTGAATAGACTGTGATTCATTAACAATCCCATGTGTCAGAATAGAAAAGCCCCATAGAGTTTTCTAGTCTGTAGTCTTTACTGGAGCAAGTCACCAGGCCTGTTTTCCCATAAAACAGCTGGTGGGTTCAAACAACTGAGCACGTGACCATTATACCATCAGGTCCCCTTCAGAGAGATCGTAGAACCCTAAAATTAATATGTTTTGAATTAGCAATTAAATTATGGACAGCATAATTTACTATTGAGTGTATTTCTAGTATTCAGTTTTACTATTAACAGTTTCTGTCATATAAAAAATTAAGAGAATCTCATCAAGAATATTTTGAGCCTTTACTCATGGAAACCTCAAGATCAAGTTCAAAATTTGAAAGTACCAGCCATTACACAGTAGAAAGATGAGGCTTTCTGCTTTCGTAAAGATTTAAAGCAGGCTGCTTAGTCTCAGAAGGGAACTAGCTATACCCTGTAATCTATAACTTCATTGCAATATCAATTATTTCTGTATCTAAAGATGAGGTTTTGAATAGTGATCAAAGTGGTAACTAACTGTTGGTTGTTTGGATAATTGTATATTCCTGAGTGTTTTGGTGCCTATCCAAAATAATAATAATAATAATAATAAGAGGGAATAGAGGCATGTATTGTTGAATGATGATGCATTGAGGGGATTGTAATCATTGCAATGAAATAAAAGACACAATACAAACTATAGAACAATAAATAAAAAAACAAAAGTGGTAACTGATATGCAAGATGACCATTTTTTTAAATTCAAAATCATTAAAAACAAATATTGTGATAAATTTGATAAAGTTGATTGTAACTTGAAATTCAACTAGATAAATGGGGAAGATCACTGAGCTCATCCATACAATCTATTTAATGAATTAAATTTAATATAATAAATTTCAAACGAATGAAAAGGATTTAGGATAACCAAAATGTTAATTTGATTAGAGTAACCAAAAATTTTAATTTTCTTTGGCAACTTTATGGCTAAACATATTACTCTGCATGGTTTTCCTAGAGTTTTTGGAATTTATAAGTAAATCATTAACTTTGTAAATAACTATTTTCCAATCATTCCAGTTATATTTCTATTTATTGAGTTTAACTTTAATACTACAGATTAAAGGATCTATTGAACTGTTTAATTCATCTACTTTCTACTAGTAATATATAACCTTTCTTTTTCCTATGTACATGCCTAAGATAGTTATCTTGCTAGTAAATATTCAAATATCTGTATAATGAATGAAAAAATATGAGTCTCTTTATCTGAGCTCTTGATTTCTGAAAAGTAATTTGTTTTTTCCTGGGAAAAGTGAGATGTGTCTGAAGTTCTCATACTAAAACTTTTTTTACATAAAGCCTCAACCAGCCTTATACTAACACTTATTTGTACCCGTACTAATTATGCTATAAAAACATTGTATCATTAGCATGAGAATGTAGTTCTGTTCATCAGATAGCACTGATACTCATACAGTAAAGTCATAAACCATTGTCCTTAACTTATACTAAACTATTAGAGATATGAAAATTAATCTAGAGAAAAATTTAGAAGAAGAGCGCCAAATATTACTACAGCAACAAAAAATATGTAGAAATCGAGCACGTAAATATTTTGTGGAGTCAAACCGAAGAAAAAAGTAAGTAATTATATTCTGTATAGATGTGTAGAATTTTCAAAATAATTGTAAATTAGTAATTTCTCTAGTTAGTAGCATTTTATTAACTGACCTAACGATAGTGCTTTATGTATAAAATACTAATATTCTTGTGGCTTTGTAAATTTTATTACTGTTTTTCTACCTAAAACAAAAGATGGTGGTGTATTGTCTAATTCACTAACTGTGACCTTAATAGTCTTCTGTCATAGAGCTGTTTATTACAATGTCATATAAACCAAACCAAATCCACTGCCATCAGTTGGTTCCGATTGGACAGAGTAGAATTGCTCCTCAGGGTTTCTAAGACTAAATCTTTGTGGGGGCAGATAGCCTCATCTTTCTTATGTGGAGCAACTGGTGAATTTTAACCACTGGACTTGTGGTTAGTAGCACCACATTTAGCCCACTGTGCCAGCAGGGCACATCACAATGTCATATATACATCTTAAAATGACTATAAAGAGTGTTATCTTTTTTCTTTAGATTTTATGGTGAATTTTTTTATTGCTAATTAGTAGTTAATTTCTAAAGAAATTCACTGTAATTTTGATTTATAATTCATTTCCATATTATTTTCCCAATTGTGCTGCCTTCATCCAATCACAAAAGTAGAAAAGAATATGAATAATAGTGCAAATGTGAGTGGGGATAAAAAAACATCCCATGGAGACTGGAATTCAAAGTAGAAATACAAAGTGTGCAATCATTGTTTAACACTTTTAAGGACTTCTTAAATTATTGGATTTTTAAATTTTGAGGCAGTGGTTTTGCCATTTTTTTTTTACTGTTGTTGTTCTGTCTTGTCATTTCTTCAATACATGAATAGCAGAAAGTCCCTAGAGCTTATTAACTACATCATTGGCATGTGTTGTAAATCCCATTGGGGAATATAAAATTGTTTACCTTTAAAAAAAA